TATATATACATACACATACATAAGAAGAAACGTTATACGTATAGATATTATCATGACTTCGTTAAGTTGCGTAACATCTTTGTTGACCCGGATTTCATGTTTGAGGGTTACGTTTGCAAAACACAAAAGCGCATCCTGCTTGTTCATCAATTCATTACAGGAGCGGAATATAGAACAGGATCGTTGGTTAGGGCTGGGCAATGAGTCGCTTTAACAAAATCCGGATACAATGTTACTGCACCTCTTCGCCAAATAATAGGATATGAACCGCTTCGGCAAATGGGTTAGGACCACTTCGACAAACAGGTTAGCAGTACTTCAACAAATTATGGGAGCACGCACTTCGGCAAACGGGTCAGGAAAGAAGGTTGAGAGTTTTAATTCGGATAATGTTCCATTGAGAATTATCCGGTTATCCTTGTAGATTATCCGGATTTTGCCCAACTCTATCGTTGGTTAGGAAAGCCCTCTAACAACATACAGGGAGAGAAGAGGTTCGACCGACAACCCCTGTGTCTCTCAATGAGAAAATCTACGGGTTGGTGAACATGCTGGAGAACACCACAATATTTGCAGTTGAAGCTGGCCTCAAAGTGGAAAGGCATAACCCCCCCAAAAAAAAAATATAAAAAAAATAAATAAAAATAAAAAAAATAAAAAAATAAATTCCCCTCCCTTTAAAAAAACAAAACAGAAACAACAACAACAAAAAACCAAACAAACAACCCCCAACCACACACAAAAATCGACAACAACACATAAAACAATACAAAATTGATTATCAAGCCCCTTCGCCAGACGATGACACAGTTTTGTTAAGTCTTTTAATTATTTACAAGATACTTGCTGATGGAATTGATTTCTGCGTTTCAGAATCAGGGTCGCCAACCCAAACACTTTTGTTTATGCCATGGGTTAAGTTGGCCATTTTAGGTCTATAACCCTTTAACGACCAGGTGCCCCCTTCTCCTGCAAATGTTGTGTTGGTTATATTTTTTTAGTTCTTTAACCCATTCACTGCTAGGGCGACGAAGGGATCACGTCTCCTCTGTGTACTTTGAGTGACCACATTTAACTCTTTTATTGCCCGGTCCGAGTCCATCTCTCTGCTTGGCGCTTGGACTATATGACTAATCAAACTTTGATACTATAGCCCGTATATCCCCCCGCCCCCACTTTCCACTGTTCCGTCTCCCCTCATCCCTGTCCCACACCAACACACCCATACACAAATTACTTTCCCCAAACAACCCTCCCGTTAATGTTCTCTGTACTCTTCTCCCAGCTGACTGTCCCTTTACGTTGTGGAGTTGAAAGTGTTGACGGTTATTTTGGGCCGTCTGTGGACGATAGATCTTTCAGTCTTAGTAACAGTTTCACGACACTTGCAACACAATAAGGTCATATAAGTGCCGAAAATTAGAGGTGTTACAAGAGAGAAACAAACATAAAAAAGGAAGACAGATAAAGACGATAGTTGTTTAATAGGAAAGAAGGAGCAAACCACACCAGAGCACCCACCAACAACCCATGACGATAGATCTACCTAAAACATAAGATCAAACTAAAAAGTAGCCTACAATGAATTTTTTTTACCTCTATAAATTAAGATTCATGGAACGCTGGAACACGGTTTTTTGTCGAAGATTTGCCTTATCACCCAATTCTCGGCCTCTGCTGTGAAGGGGTTAAGATTCTTTCACTTAACCTCTTTCTGTATGTGCGGAGATCTAACGTTGTCAATATTGGAATTTTCTCCCTCATGTTGTGCAGTGTGTGTGTGCGCGCACGCGCGCGCGCGAGCGTGTGTGTGTGTGTGTGAGTGTGTGTGTGTGTGTGTGTGTG